TCTGTGTTTATGTATCAAAAACTTCTTACAAAAAAACTAAAATGAGGAAATGCATAGCTTAAGCACCCTTAGTTTTTTTTTCTTAAAGAAACTGCGCAATTGAACATGATARCAGATGGATAACAAATACATAAAATCAATTAAATTCAATTATTTTAATATTTTTGAAGTGGCTTTTCAACACTTATTAGTACATTGGAACCTAGGTAATGATTACGTAAATGTGTATTTTTAAATGACTACTACACTACCTAGATAATAAGTACTTATGTAGGAAATAGTTATCATAAATACCTCTTKGTACATAAATAATAATYGATGAAAGATTTAGTATAGGTACTCTTCTAAAATTTAGGGAAACCTATTGAGCATAAGGATATATTTGTTCAAGAATTTCTAACAATTACAAACAAATGTAATAATAGGGGTGTTAATACTGTTTTTAAAAACTTTTTATTATGTACCGAATAAATTAAATGTCATGAAAATAGAAAATTTTATTAAAAAGAATCAAACTAATAGACTATTGAAACAATTTATTGTTATAATTAAGACTAAGTATTTTTATTCAAACATTAAAAATAATTCATAAAACCTACCTAGCGAGCTACCTAGTGAAGATTATAAAATGTTACATAATAATTTGAGAAGGTCAGGACGAAGGCAGCATAAGAATCTTATTTAGATCAATAAAGTAACAACTATATTCTTAGACAAATAATTATGTTTTAAAGCTTTCTTTTACTAAACATTTTGYAAACTTGACTAAAAAGTTTTTTTTAGCTATAAAAGTATTTAAATGTATTGACTGCCTAAATTGTTTTTCTATTAAGAAAGCAAAAACAAAAAATTATATTGTTTTTATAATGATTATCTCTGTGATTCTCTTATGGTATTAATTGAATAACTACCAAATTATATGGAAATTAATATTAGTTTAAGAAAAAATAAAWTTCACTCAAAATTATAAACAAAAATAACTTGAAATCGTAAAATGATTTAAGAGGTAATGYGTTACACTATTTAACACAAATATCCAGRAAGTATAGGTACCTATTTACCTATTTAATAACTAGCATTAGAAAAGGTATAAGTTTAAAAATATACTAGTACTATAGTAGATGAGCTAATGAAATGGTATTTACTGTTCCTAAGTATTAAATGGTAGTAGGTACCTATGCAGCTATTCAACTTGGTAGATAGTAATTTGTTTGTATATAGGTATAATACCTATAGGGATTAAATGACAATAATTAATTTTATTTCAATTCAAGTATCAGTCAAAAAAAAAAACCCCCCCAATTAAATGTGTACGTCAGCAATATTGACTAAAAATACCTAATCCAAATTTATTCATAGAATTTCAGTAAGAATTWAAAAAAAAATTTTAAATGTATAATTTGTACCTAGGTTCCAACATTATGGCACAAAAATTGATAGATAAAACCGTATATGAGTTTACATACAATGGTATGTGGACAATATTGAAGACCAGCTGTTTGAAATATTGAGATACACTTAGGCTCAGAAATAATAGACAGACATTTGCCTGAAGCTTAAATTAATAGATTGTAGGACACCAGTTCATCTAGTCAAACTTTGGAAATYGTCAAAATAAACTGGGGTAGTGAACAATGAAGAAAAACTGCAAGATGTGGTGGGTGGCTGAAATACGATTTAAGAGTCTAGCAGATGGAGGTCAACCAAAATTGAAGACCCTGTGATGGGTGTCGAAAAATCGGGGACGCAGAGCGGTGCGAGTTGGGTAAAAAAAATCGGAGGATCGACACCTAGTATATGTGCGGACGTGGCCGGAGGGAAACGAGTCGCGCGAGACGAGCACAAGAGAAATCGCGTAGGCGACGACCGGACATGGACAGAGTGGGTCCTAAGAGCTTCCGATAACAAAAGATCGTCGCGTAGATCGCAAAAAGGTCGGTAGGTACTTAAGGTTTTGTTCTAACCTGTTGACAGCACCGCAGGTAATCCTCAACGGCCTTCAGACAGGAATCGGTCAGCTTGACGAAGAACAGCGTTTTGTTCTTGCCCGTCCTCTGCTTGGACATAAGGCCATTGTTCTGGTTCGACGACAGACTGTATTGCACCCCGGCGGTCAAAGCGGACATCGCGGCCGATCTGTCGTGGCGACTGGCGACTGTTTGCGGGCGCGTTCACGGTACGCGGTCGGCGTCGTCACTTCGTCGTCGATAGAGAGAGGAAAATGATTTCCTTTTGGGAAAAAAAAAATCCAATTTTTTATTATTATTATTATTATTATTACTACGATTATTATTATTATTATTACATCTACAAACGAATCATAATCGCACCAGCGACGGTCGCGGACATGTACACATAGGGAAAAAGATTATGAGACTACTATTATATTAACACAAGTTGTATTACACATTTACACTACTTCGATAGCTGATGGTAATGGTGCGAGATACCAGGTGCACACGAGACCGTCGTGCTGATACGCACACCTGGGCCTCCCGCAGTAGTGGTGACGTCACGGACGTACGATGTCTTTAGTACGGCGCGACGGCCGACGATTGCTTCATAGACGACGTCGCGCACCATAGAGCCATCGGCAGCAGTTGCAGCAGCACCAGCTGCTTACTTGCAGTAAGTTGGTGCAACACCGTTTTTTTGCGATTACCTTCCGCTATCGCCGCCGCCACTAGTCCTACCGTCGACTACTGCCACAGTGCCACTACCTACAACTACATCTACTAGACAGTGTCAGTAGTGGTAAAGTTGCATAGTATTCTACTAATCCGATTGTAAATAAGGATTATAATTTATAATATCATTGTTATCCTGTAGTACACAGGATTTTTCTTTATCGTCCAAACAGGGCATGTTGGCGAAAGGCGTATGTTATTATACTATTTATACTCGATGTCGATGGGGTAGCCGATAGGGGTAATTTATTTTAAATCAACAAGTTAAACTTATTATTATTTCGATATTTTACGTTTTTATAATTTTATGACTGCAGGATGGAATTATGCAAATCAAAAATTGAAAAACTGAAAAACATTTAACCTTTGATTCTAAATAAAAGTAGGTACCTATAATACTAGTACATATTATTTTTATTTATTTGTTTTAATAGTATTATAGTGGCATTTAGGTAGCTACAAATCGTAACGATAATACAATATTGTTTATAATTGTAGATTTGTAGTATTTAGTATAGTGCACCATAAATGTATCGTCAACAGCACAGATGGAATATTTCCTGCTGTTCGATTCGGGTACAGACTTCAAGCTAAAACTGCCCATGTCCTGTTGGAGGCACGAAATAAACTTGTTCTGTGATACTACTCATGCGACACACGTGCAATAAATATCGGTATGCGCCTACGATTGTASCTCGTGTTGCCTTCTAAGAGCGCCCTTCAACTCGTAAAAACGTAAAAAACGTTATTGGAAAATCGGGCAAAAAAAAAGACAATGAAAATCAAAAACGGTTTACTGAGTGAGAACCGTATCCGTACGCACATGGAATCGTTTTTTTCTTTATTTCAATTTCTTGCCTTTCAGTAGCGGTRGGGTGATCAGCCGGTGGTGGTGACCAGGTGTTCGAGTGTTCGAGCTRAGAGCTAAACAACGCTAGTGCGCTACACGTACGCATAATAATATATAGGGGTGCGTATTATTATTATTTTATTCCATACCTTATATGAAGCCCCCAAAATAATCATCGAATAATAATTGTATATATAATAACCGTCGTTATATATTGCATATTATTTGCGACAACCGTATGGTATGCTACCTATATATTATGGGTAATATACGTCTCAGGACAGCGGGGACTTAATAATCCCAAAACAAAATATTAGACACAAACGCAATAAACATATACTTGGGTAGTTAGGTATACAGAGTGCACCAAGATGTATGATCCCCCTTATTTCTCCAACATTGTAATTATTCAAAGTATTATTTTTAAAATACCAACTAAAATACCATAATATTTTTAAACTCTTGATTATTTTTTACTATACTTTTTGAGTGTACTATGGCAACACAAACTTCTGTTTTTCAAATTAGAAACTTCCCTTTTTGTCAAATTTTACGGATATTTTTTTTTTTAAACATATTTACGTAACAAAATCAAAATTCAAAAGCGCTGTATTTGTATTATTTAACTTTGTGTAACTAAGAATAGTAGGTCCATGATAATGGGTTTGGGAAATATGTGGGCTATATTAATTTAGAAATAATTGTGATTAATATTAATCTATCATCATTAAACAATTTGTAAAAATGGTCCAAGTATAATTCAATATCACATTTATTTCATATTTTTGTAGAAAAAATTTTAGGACTATTGTCCTTATTGTATAAACATTTTATTAACTAAGAAACTATACTCGTACAAATTTTGAATTTGGTGTATTAACATTTAAAAAAAAATCATCTATTAAATAATTTACAGTAAAAACTGCTGAAGTGATTCTCACTTGATAAACAGAAGTTAGTTTCACTGCGGAATACTTTTTAAGTACTAAATACAAAAAACACCAAKAATTTGAAAGTATGGTCTTTAGGTATATTTAAATTAAATTATTAGCTAAGAATAAAAGGGGGAGTGAGCGTGATTGGTGAATAGGAATCACCCTGTAGTATAAAATTGAAGGACGTTTGGTGAACAGATTTACGTATATTATTCGGAAGTCAAAGTCTGCTGGTGCCTGGTGGTCTACGGTATGTCATGATGTTCACGCTTGTATTAAAAACAAATAATACATATTTATAATTATTTATACATTATTGTTAATTGAGGTATATTATCTTGTCCGATGCCGTAATTATTGTTGTTACAATATCCTCTAACACGTAAAACGCAATAAATAATAATAAAATAATGTACAACGCACACACACACGGATATGAACTTATAATATTACATATTCTATATATAGCTATACAGGTATTAGCGTATAACATTACATATTACATATAATATTTTAATCTTATTTTCTTAATGTGTTTGGTACTCACCACTCGGTGACTATTTCCAGCGACGAGCAATCCCTTCTACTTCATATAACACTATAACAATAATATATTAAACATATTATAATATATAGTGAACCATTAAAATAGCAACACTTATCATCCAAATGCATATTTTGTTTTTATAAAAATTGTTTAGTTGAGGTGTATATTTTATAACGCACTACACTTAAAAAAATAGTTTTTTATCAGTAGCTTTTAATTATATTTTAATGACAAGTCAATAACCTATATTTGTATTTATAGATATATGTATAATCAAAAAAATTGAATATTACACTTTTCTCGAAATTCATAATGTTTAAATATAATATAATAATATAATATATATTGAATAAATTAAGTTTTCAATATTTAGGTGAACGATAGTATATTATAAAAGTCTAACTTTAGTATTTTGCGATGCATTCATGCATTGCGTCTGCTATTTTTTAAGTAGGTATCTATTATTGTAGTAAATTACTAATTTATGACGAATAATTTATTTAATTATTAATTATTATATTYGATATAATACGTCTACAATTTCAGAAAACAATTTTGCTTTTGACTATGAAAATTAAAAATATATCTTAGGTAGTCATTAATTTTTTTTTTTAAACACTTCTTAATTCTTATATAATAAACAAATTGATCATTATAATGCGTAAGACAAAATAAAAACAAAAATAGACTAGGAAAATAATTCATAGGTAGAGTAACCATTTGTTAAGGATCATATTATATAGTATATTATTTTATAATTCAAACGAAAGCGTAAATGATTTTACTCTACGCAGACTATAATGATATTATAATTTATAATTTATTAATCACTGCACACTATACGTTGACTAGGTACCTATTTAATAATAGTGGTTACAATAGTTATGTATTGTATTCTTATGTATAGGTACCTATTACGTCATGTAAAAGTATCATGTTATATTTGGATTTACCTGCTACCTATCGACATACGATTATTCCATCAAGGAGCCTGTACATCGTTTGAAATTCCAATCTTGATAAAAAAAAAAATAATAATAATGAGAATGATTTGCGATATTCTGCTTCTGTCGCAGTTATGTAGGTACCTACATAATATAACATATATACAAGTATACACTGTGCCGTGCAAATATTCCAATATAAGAAACACGTAACTCCCTCCATAATCTACCGACCAGTCTCACAACCAGTTATAAAATAATGTATTCGTCTATATTAAATTTAATATACTATATATTCATGAAACGACGTTTTTTTTCGAATATTTCATCATTCCAATAATATATAACCCAATGATGTGGATATAATTATATACACGTAAGCATAGCATAAATATATATATATATGTGTGTGTGTGTGTATATGCACACACACCTAACGCGTGAATTTATATTATATATAACGTGCATTCGTGGTGGGGG